TTTTTTTTTTTTTTTTTTTTTTTGAGCCAGGTAGTTTTAGTTGTTCTTGATTCCTGTTTAGATTTACACACATACACACACACACACACACACACCACATTCCTATTCCTCCAACACATAGCAACATGATTTAGTGACCATTTCAAATTTACCTTTTTTCTCTTTCTTTCCATCTTTAAAATAGCATGGATGTTTTTGAAAACCAGTCGGATATAAGTATTTTTTAAAAAAAACTAAAAGTATAATCTTATCTTTTGGGTTAATGAGAGAAAAACAAGAGCTGAGGGATTTAGGAAATGTGTCTATATATCACTATTTATGCAGTGTCTCCATGTGCATCCAGACACCTTTACACTTATACATTTTTAATACTCCTATTACATATCTTTCTTCTTGACTAATACATTCTTTTGTTCCTTTAACTTCCCCATCACTGTGTGTATGTGTGTGAGCATTCATGTGTGCGTTTGTGTGTGTGCACCAGCACCAGTGCTGGAGCCTTAGCACACATGCACACATACACACTCACAGAATGTGACAGACAGCTTTCTTGTGGCCATCAGCACACGATGCATATCCGGGGTCTTCTCCAGGCACATTGGGGGTCGATCCCGATGAAAAGATCTAGCAGAGGCCCCTGAGCGCTCACACTTGAAAGGCAGGGGACTTGAAGATGGATTTGCATGCACACCGGGGATTTCGATCAATAGCTACCAGCATTTATGGCTTAGATTATTACTGTGCAAGCTGGCCAAAGGAATGGGGATGAAAAATTAAAGGTGTCTGTTATCAATTATGCTTAAAGTTATGCGATAATTTACTTACTTTGCCTGGATGTGCAGATCCAGATGCATAAAGTACTGTTCTTCAAAAGCCAGGGGGTTCTTTGATAAATTTGTTGACCATGTCAGCCGCCTCTGCAATCAAAGATGAACCCAACTCAGACGATGGACTGTATTCAGATTCTTCTCAAAGAAAGGATTTATCAACTTCTATGTTTCTCACGTGCATGCACATATGTGGATGGATATGCCCAGATTATCATTCATGTATATATCCATCTTTGTGAATCTGGAGAATGACTGTGAATTTAGGCATATATGTGCTATGCACTGAGTTTGTTAATTAAACGTGATCATTGACTCAGTGAGAAATTAATAATCTAGTTATTGTAAAAAGTATTTTATCTTTGAAAACAAAGCTGCTTGCTGAAGGAAAATCCTCTGTAGCAAATACAAATTGAAATATATATATATTTTTGATCTATATTCTTAATGTCCATTTACTTGCCACATTTATGGTAAAAAAAATCAGCACTTTCAGTTTTTAAAGGGATGGGCTATGAAGATATGAACATATCGGTCTTTGCTTCTCTCACATGAATGTGCTAAATTTACCTTCAGATGCTCTATTTTGATTTATTTTCATTGTATTTTATGTTTAAATACCACGGCAATTCAGTATGACCTCTTTCCTCTGGAGCGGAGTAATGCACAAGGCATTTACAGTCTTTTAAATGGTTAGCTTGGAAATGCAATAGCAATTTGCAGGAGTAGTTTACTAATGGGGAAAGTTCTTTTGAAAACCTGAAGGAAAACCTAAGAGTACTTTTGCGTTTCTCTAGTACAACTGTCATATAATTAAAGTATTGAAGAGCATTAAAATAATCCTTTTCTTTCCCAGGTCTACATACATAATTTAAATGAGGATCACCCCTGCTACCAACAACCCCCTAACTTTGCCATGTACATTTGTTTCAGTGATTGTTAGGCACATTTTGTTAAAAGTGAATTCAGACAGAAGAGAGTCAGGAACTTCACAAAGGCCTCCAGTGTAAGAGAGTGGTCAGAAGTATGAAAGACATCCCTTAGACTGTTGATTAAAATTAACTATAATATTTACAATATAAAGCCTAAAAGAGTAATAATTTAAAGCTCACATGGCTGAATTGGTTGAGGATGTAGGACAATAAAATCTTAACAGTGTCTTAGTTAAACTCAGCGGAGAGCACATCTTCCCTGCTTTTTGGGAGGGAAAAATGAGAATGGAGTAAAAGGAAAAGGTTCAAATGAGAGGAAACTGAAATTATAACTTAGGATATTTTTCTTATTTATTTATTTTCTTTTTATCCCATTCAGACATATCAGGGCAAGTCTCCCAAGGGCCCATCCTCCTGTTTTGAGGCATTTAAAAATCCTGTCTCTAACAGAAGTTTGGGGCACAGAGTATATGCCATGTTGTCTACTGACCCATAATCAAAATGCAGTGACCTTCTACCCTTTTTTTGCCCCCTGACCCATCTTGAATTCAATGCAGCCTTTATAAATTTGCAAATCCTTGGAGGTAAAGGGGTTTTTGTGAGGCTTTGTTCTGAAAAAGCCCTAAGAGTGTGCTTTCTAAATTAGACAAAGGTAAAGAAGGAAACCTTAGTGGCTGAGAATTTATACAGGTGAGCAATAGGAAACTCTTCTAAAACATTTTTTGCAAGCTAAAAAGCAGTTACAAACATAGGAGACAAGGAGGTTATGGATTGCATCGAATTAGAGTGTGGTACAAATCACTTTCATGATACAAGAAATGGTTAGGCCACAATCTTCCTGCTCATCTCATCTCAAGGGCTGTGGGGTACCCTAGTGACCAAGGAAGGAATGGGGGCTGGGGGGACAGATGGAAGGGAGGGAGGGAAAAAAAGGAAAGAGACCTGCTCTACATCTGTCTACAGGCACATTCCCTTATCTTTCCTGCTATCAGCCAGTTTAAAGGACACCATAATTATGATGGTGATAAAACAATGCCTCCTTATGTGTGCTGAATAAATAAAGAATGTTTACAGCTCAAGAATCTTTTAATTCCAATTAAATGCTATCAAAGAAAAGCCACTTTTCTTACTGCAAACGCCTTTCCCCCCAATTATCTTGTTTTGTTGCAGTATTTTCCTATGAGACACAAGGGACTTTTACAATTGATCAGGATGTAGGAGAAAAATCAGAGCAAGTAGAATTCCACCTTTCTACGTGAAAGAATACACAAATCTCCAGAACCACTATTTCTGTGGATTTTTGTTGATTCTCCATGAAGGCCAAACGTGCAGGAGCTGAGGGATGACAGGGCGTTGAGGCCTGCCTAGGGGCTGCTGAAGCCACACTGAAATCCCAGCACCCAGGAGGAGAAAGGAAAGATAAGACAGGAGCAGCATGATAGTCCCTGGAAAGGGAATCCTCTGGTTCTGTTCCCCTGGCTTCAGCCCAAATCCTTCTAGGAGCACTGGAGCCAATCACTGGCTTCCTTTCTGCGGCTACTGGGAACACAGAAAAAAAAAAGCGGGAGATAAAAAAAAAAAAATCACAACTTTGAATTTATGGCTATGCAAGTATCATTTCATATCCATGACCTCAGCAAATCACATTGTAATCACATTTAAACAAGGTTTGGGCAGTAATGCCCATCAGGCTAGGCACTGAACACTAACTACTGGCCAGAACATTTGGTTTTTAAAAACATTTTGGAACCATAGAGTGAAAAGTAAGCCTTTTAACTTTGAAACGCTTACTTTTTCATTTCTGAGACTAATTTCTACTCGGATAAATTTCAAGTAAACTTCTTTTTCATTCTTTCCACAACATTTTAATTAAAAGTCTACTTCTTTCCTTTCTTGGTTGTGGTAGTGTTTTATTTGTTTTTTAAAAAAACACATGGCACAACAAATGCTATGGAAAACGCACTAGCTCTGTTAAATACTTCCACAAACCTGCCTTTTTCTCCATCTGTGTAAGTAAGGCATTACTAAGTATAAACTAAAAAAAACAAAAAACAACCAAACAAACAAAAAACCCAACCCCCCAAAACCCAAAACAAAAAACAAACCAAAAAACTTTCCTCAAAAATATACCTACTATTCCCTAGCAAATACTCTTTGGTAATGTGCAAAAAGCAGTGATAAAAAATTTCAGTTATTTGTGAGTATTCTGGAGAGTCGTAGGCCTGTTTTCTTTTGAAAGTTTGAGCGCCATCACCCTCTTTTCTACTGGCAGAATTAGGATGGACTTAGAGTGTCCTAAACGTGACCGATTCACTAAGGCGGGGTGGTGGTGGTGGGGGCTACAGCTTGCGGCAACGTGCTCGGCAATTTAATCCTACGCTAAAAGAGGGCAGAGAGCGAAAAAGAATGGAATACAAACTCCCCACGTTCGTAGTTACTTTCGAGGTGGATTGTGTGTTTTAAGTCTGATGGGAGCCGCTGATTTTTGGAGCAAAAAGAAGAGAAGGTAAGTGTTTGTCCTTGTATCCACCAGTTCGTGGAGAAACAATGAAAGAACAAAGGAAACCACTTCCCCATCTGAACATTTCTTTCGTCTCCCATCGCTTTAAGCCTAAAAGCTTGCGAGGGGATTCGCTTTACTCTACCTTAAGGAGTGGTCGCTAAGCTTGTGGAGCGGAAGGAGGGAAAAGTTGGAGAGACAGTGTAAATGTAGACTAAATAACAATAAAGGCTTGCTGTGGCGGATCCACAGCGCCAGCCGCAGCAACTTGCAGCAGAAGTTGCTAAATGCATGAAGGCAAGCTCAAGAAAACACCTTTGCATGCTAGATTTTCAACTCAGCCATCCCAGCAGCCTTTCTGGCTGTTTTGAGGGGTTCCTAAGCACAAAATGTGTGGGTGCTGTCTGTGGGAAGGAAGAGCGGCGCACTATTTCGGTCGGAAATGATCTCTTGCTGTCTGGGAAAGAGTATTTTCAAAGGGAAGGGGATTCCATTGACGTTTGGTACGGTAAATGGAAGCAATGGCAGCGGTGGCCGGGAAAAGGAGGGATCTGTGTGTCAGCGCCTTTGCTTTGGGGTACCCAGGTGACGGCAAGTCAGCCTTTGTGGGTCTGTGTGGCTGAGTGAGCGCCCGAGCGCCCTCGGCATCACACGAGTGTGAGTGTGTGCGCTGGGGGAGCCCCAAAGCCGTCGAGCACATGAAACGCGATTTTTTTTTACTATCCCCCAAGCGGCGGAGCCCCGAGCTCCCCACCCCACCTAGAAATGCGTAGATTACCTGCCCCGTTACAGTGACACATGTTTATGTTTATAGTCCTGGTTTGTAGTAGTGTCAAGAGCCGCGGCGAGAGGAGGGGAGGAGAGACGGAGAGGGAGGAGTGAACGCCACCACCCCCACTTGTTGTTAAAGCAAACGAAATGCGTTTCGGAGAGCCGGGGACTGGGGGCTGGGCGGGGAGAGCCGGGGAAGGGAGGGAGTCCCCTGCTCTGCGGCAGCCCGGGGAAAAGCAGCGCGGCCGGCGCGGCGGAAAACAAAAAGCTTCCTCCCGCTCGCGGCGCTCACTCGCGGGGCTCCGCGCGCGGGGC